ACTAATATATCATCAAGTATAAAATTTGTTGGAAAAAAAAAGCGCAGGTGATTGATAGTTCACAGATAGCATTAGCTTTAAAAAAAAGCTATTTAATATTTAATTAAGGCATGTTTCCTGACTTTCATGTCTATACTACCTAAAAGTAATGCTTACTTTTTAGGTAAAATGTTACATTTTGGCATGTAGTTCTCTGAAACTTATGATCTGATAGGGCTGAAGCATTTTTTATGCATGTGGCTAAATCTTGTAAAGAACGGTATAATTAGGAAAAAAATATTTTGAATAAAAACAAAATCCTAACCTTATAATATTTTAGCAATGTTAAATAATCTGAAAGATATATTATCAGCTCAACGAAAGAACGCAATTGTAGATCATGATATCGATTTGCGCTAATGACTCTTTTTAAGCACAATGACATTTCCACATCGAAATGAACTTTTCAATGGTCAGTCGTCTTCTTACGGTGGGTGAACAATATTTGCCATAGAAATTAGCACTTTCGTTTCCCGTGTAGATCTTCGTTATTGTTTGACGTTTTTCGGACATTTTATCATTACATTCAGAATTGCGTGCTTTATTTAATGAAAAATAACTTAGAAATTAGTATTCATAAAAAATGTTGGTTTGATAAAACAATAACGGTTTAAAGAGATTATTCGTTATTTTATTCCCAGCCCTAATGGTACTAGATGTCGATTCCGTGAACCATTTTTGTTTTAAAAATAAGACAATTAATATTAAAATTGTCTTATTTTAAAATTGTCGTATTACGTAAATTATTACTAAAATCGCTTCAGGCTTTCTAAAGTACATTTGGAAACCTATATCAGGCACAAAAATCAATTCAAATTGTTAAACCTTTATGCACTAAAAAATAATTGAATAAATTGCACTGTACGCAAAAAAATGAATAAATAAATTTTAAAAAAAAACAAAAGACCCGGAATAACTTTTCATCTATTGAGCGGATCAGAAGTTACGAAATCAAGCACAAAAACGAACTTCCTCAAAATAAACGTATATATATATATATTTATTTTTTTTGAAAAATTTGGATTTCTTACTTCAAACAGAGGTGGTATAACCTCAAATTATAGGAAATAATCACATTTCATGTAATTTGCAAAGTAATCGCCTAAATTTAAAAATAAGTAAAATTATAAGAAGAAAAAATGTGAATATATATGTAAATCGCATATTGTGAAAATTTCGTTTTTTTCTTTCATTTTTTTTTTGCAAACGAAATAAACGAGTCTTACAAATTTATGAGTAAAGTATAAAACTATAGCTGTGGCACTTAACCCTACATAGATTCGTCTTATAGACTTCTGACCCCTGCCAGTTTTCCGAACTCTATAAGTTCCCCTTGCTCACACACTACCTCTCTCAAAGTACTCTCATAACTAGCAATTATTTGAAGGTGATAAACACAGCTGTACACTCGTTTGAAATAAAGAAAGGAAATATACAAATATATAATCGAAGGCCTAGTTATAAATTAACACTGACATAAGTTTAGTAGTCGAAAGTTAATTTAAGTAGCACTATAGCTGCCCAGTGGTTCACTGGCAACGGTCTGGGAAACACCCATAAGGATAATCCGAAGATGTGTTATCACAATTGTTGATGCTCTGCACAGGGGATGACTCCCCCGCTATGGAAACGGATGAACTACGCTAGAAGTCGAGCACTTTACGATAACAAGGAGTTTAACACGGAACGATATCGCGCACCATCGGTTTCTCTACAGGATGATCTAAGTTCACTAACAGCTGCCAGTCATGTTTGACTTCTTTGTTCTGTTGGGAACCGGTGTCTTGCAATCAGTGCGGAACTTAGAAAATCAATACAAGTATTAAGTTAGTGTTATCTATTTGTGGGATTTTATTACATTTATTGGAATTACCTGACTTTAATATTTAAAGATAACTAAAAATGATACAATTAAGTAAAAAAAAAATACTTATTTTTAAAAAAAAAGTGACACAACTTCGACAGTTATCGATTCTATTGGGGCTGGAACAAAAATATTGAGTTGTTGTAATTCATTTGGTTTCAGATCAGGCAATCTTATGTTTTTAACTGCAACAAATGGTAAAATAAGTAACAGTTTGCTGATCACGATGTGTACAGTGCTAACATTTTTATAGTCTATTGGATAGCAGTTAGAAATCGATATTTCCCGGAACATAACGATTGGACAAATACAACGTTGATGAAAAAAACAAAATTCCGGTTAATGGTACCAAAATATATGGCATTTAAAGCCATTCATTTGGTAGTTTTTCCGTTCATATTGTAACGGAAAAAGACTCTCTTAAGTTAAGTTAAGTAATCAGTAAGTAATCATTCAGTAACACTAAAATTTATAATTACAGTAAGATAAGTTACACACCAGAATCAGTAAAATGTAAACTTTATTTAAAGTGCAATTTAATGTAGTGTTATAAAAACTGGATTAGGTTGTCTGTATAGTTTTAAAAAAAGTACTTATGAGAGTTCCAACCGTTTTTTTTTTTCTAATTCAAAAAAGACAATGCAATAAGAAGTAGCAAAGTTTTAACATTTTACTGAATTGCAATATTTATCCAATTTACATATATAGACCAAAATATTGCACATTGAACAATTCAACTAAATAAAAATATATTTTTTAATAATTTTTAAGAATGAAAGGGGTATGAACAACATACAATGTTTAAAACGTCCTGAAAAGGAATCTATTTCACTAAGGAAACTTTATTTCGAAACTTTACCCATTACATTACCGTTTAATGATTGATTAACTGAAAAAAAAATCTTTTTTTTTCCTTTTTACCCTTATTCATCTTATAAAATGCACTGAGCTCATACAGACCTATATAATTAAACTTCAAATCAATCTATCAATATTTAGTCAAAGAAAGAGAATTTAAACGGTTCAATGTTTCATTCTTGACAGCATAGTATTAAGCTTACGTTTCATTTTTGGAACGAGAATTTCTAGACTATCTTAGAGAAATAACCGTTGTGGAAATTTTTTAAAAGAAAGCTTGTTAGTCAACTTACACACTGCATATCAAGAGATAGATTATTCAAACCAATAAAACATTGTTTAAAAAATACAATCTTTTATTATAAGTATGGTTTTTAATCAAAACTTTTGAGATAAAAGCAGAAATTGTAAAAAAAAGAGAGGTATTCCTTTTCTCGTGAAGATTTTAAAAAAATGAGGTGCTTTAAAAGACAATTCAATAATTCTTTTACGATTTTAGTTTTTACCTCAAGTGAAGTATCAAAATTTTTAAATTAACTAATCCTATGCTTAAAACAGAAGATTACTTTAACCCATGTTATATTTTATAGGGTATTTTTTTGTCATGTTAAAATATTATTGGGATTGAGAATGATTTATGAAAAGTAATCCATTTAGCATATTATCTAAAATTGATTTGACTTTTGAGTCAGTTTTTCTTGTGAGTAAGTTGGTTATCTTTTTTAAAGAATTGATGATAAAATTGCACATCTGTGTTTATATATAACGAAATTTATAAGTTTTGTGCTTATAACTGCAAATAAACTCAATGAGAAATTATCAAACGGGCGAAGGCATTCTGAACAAGAGAAATTAGCTCCCCAGTGTTGGCCTCGCTTCTTGACCTCACACTAACCTTTACTGTTACATGCATTTATGCAAAAAAAAGAAAAACTTTTTATGTGTGTGTGTGTGTTATGTAAGTTATCAGCAGATGGCCGCTCAAATCACTGCAGAAAAATAGCATTCCTACACCATTAAAAATGATTGAAGTTTGCGAAAATGCTTCCCATGGCTTCATAAAGGGATAACAGATTTTTCAGCTAGTTACATGGTGAGGAAAACCACGAAAACCTCCAATATTTAGCCCGATAATAAGTGAATTCTCACCCATGATTTGTTTACGACTGAGGTTATTTTACGTCAGGACTGTGGTCGGTGTAAGTCAGGAGCAGAATTTGATTCAACCAGCCCTCGCTGGGATTTGAATTTGTATCACCTCATTGGGAGGCCAGATTTCTATTCACTGAGTCACCTCGACTCATCTAGATATTGCAAAGAAATATTTAAATAGGAAAGAAAAAAAGAGCAATGCAAGTGCAAATGGTTAAAAAGTTTTTTTAGTTCCTTTTGTACTTATTAATCTTTAGTATTACTCTATTATTTTGGTTTATATACGAGATGCACCGTAATTGCAACCATTATTATATACATTTAGAATATTTTTCAAAAGTGAAATCAAGAAATATATGCACTTAGGTGGCTGTTACAAGTTAATATTTAAACACGGAAAAAAAATTTAATCAAATTCACGCGAATCTCGATTTTGGGGTAAAGTGGTAAGTAAAAACACCAAACCCTGTTTAAATGTGCCAAACGAACTCTGAAAAGGTGACGATTCGAAATTCGAATATTTTTGATACAAATCGCTCCCGCAAGGAAATTGAAATAAATTTTTAATACACGCTTTCTTAACCACATTTCATCATTTTGTGCGTTTTTATCACTAAAATGTTAATTTGCGAAACCTTCTGAAAAATTTATTGTCTTCATTTTTTTAACAATCTTCAATAACTAAATGTAGAAACAACCTGCATCTGCGTAATAAGAAAAATTTAATTTTTGAATATCTATCAAAGAAGAATTTCAGAAAACGAAGTCTCTAGAATTCACAATGAATGTTTTACATAAAAACTTTTTTCTTAATGTTTTTAATATTCCCTTTTTTAAAAAAAAAATCCTTTTTATAGTTATAAAAAAGGCATGATTTTAAATTCCTAGAAAATATGAAAAAAAAGTGTGCTGAACTTAATTAGAAAAAGAAAATGCGCTAAGATATTATAAAAAAAAGACAATAAAATGCAATTTTTGCAAGGATCTTATAAATAGTGCATCTGTTAATTTCTTTCTTTAATGTAGCAATTTTCAATCAAATCAGTTTCATAAATGTCAAAAATAAAATTTACGTTAACTGCGTAAACTTATCCCAGTCTATAATTTAGTTCAAAATAACTAAGACAAGGTCCTTTTGTTCGAAGCAATTTATTTATTCCTTAACCATTTAAAACTTTTCAACCAATCATGATGAATCGTCTTCGTCTGAATCGCCTCTTACAATTCTGTATGCATTCTTGCTTTTTGTGACTACCTACAAAAAGTATTGCGGTATAGAATTATGGTTTGGATTAAGCGAGTGATTAAATAGAACAATAGTCGGAATCGGCTATTCTGCGTCAAACGTAAAGGGAAGTAAGTATTCAAGGTGAAGATATCAAACCATACTATAAACTAGGCCTAAATCGAAAAAAAAAAAGATTGGAAGGAAGACAGATCACCTGGGTACCTTAGAGTCCCCCAGGTAATAGCTGTAGCGATCACTTTTAACTGAAGTATATAACACAACCCCGTGTGAACTGGGTTCTGTCTTTCCAATCGCTATATATTTACATCAACTGCTGAATCAAAAGGCTACACGAACACGTAACCGTCTGTCATACAGGCATAAATAACAACACCAAACATTTTACTACATAACCAGAGCCTGATAAAGGCAAAGGCATACAGGGAAGTTGCCCCGGGCCCACATCAGAGGGCGGGTGGGGGGGGGGAAATCGAATAGAAAGTCTATTTTAGGTTTCCTTCATTAATGAACTTTTTTTAAACAAAATATCAGTAGAGTGTAAAATCTGTCAGTGTTATGTTAGCTTCTTCATTGATCTATCGTATGAACACAAAAAATCTAAAACCCATGGCTTTCTAGTGCGGAATGAAGCTAAATTTTCTTAATTATGATGGACAAAGTTGGCCAATCAAAAGCCTGTATTTTTACATATAGCGAAATGCGCTGTGTTTAGAAAAATACAGGCTTCTGATTGGCTTAAGTGAGCCATCGTAATTTCGAAAATTTAGCTGAATTCCGCCCTTAAGTCAGCAAGGATAGGTATTTTTCGCAGTTAGATGACAAAGTTAACAATCAGAAACCTGCATTCGGCATGATGGACATAGAATTGTCAGAAAAGCCATAAAATGGACAAAATGCTAATTTGTCTGACCTTTGGAGGGGGCTTTATAGCCATTTTAGGTTCTAGTCAACTTTCTTGTTATATATGTATATTGAGGAGAAAACTTTAAATACATCCATAAAGTTCAATTCCTTATTATTGAAGTAGTGAAGCAGAGAGGGGCCATAAAGAAGTTTTTGCCCCGGGCCCCAATTAGGCTAAGTCGAGCCCTTTACATAACATCCTTATTCCTGTCCAATTATTAACTGGATTAGTAATCTCCCTACCTCACGCTAATGGTACCACCGGATAAACTGATTAAGCCAAATTTAGTGGCTTAGATGTTGTTTGACGAAACATAGTTCAGTGATTAACCAACTTGTGTTTTTCTTATTTTATATCAGGTGTTGAACAGTCAATCCGTACATGAGTTTACCGCTTTATCAATGTTCAATTACGTAACCTTGTAATTTTTCACCAAATCCAGATGTCATGTTAATTCCTGGATCAGGCAACAGAGAAACTAGTTGAAAGGTAAAGAAAACCGCGAAAACCTTCAACGGCTAGCTAGATGACAATAGCATCCATCATCGGTAAAAATCAATCTTCCACCTCTATTCTGCCGTTTTTTGACAACAGTACCACTTTACATGAACTAATCCGATAACAATTTCAATTTAGTAGCGGAAATATCATTGAATAATTTTCTGGGGCTGGTACGATAGCTGTAATGTTATCATTCTGATCCGAAATATTCGGTTAACCTTAATAACTTAACCTTTAAAAAAACACCAGTGTAGAGTATAGCAGACAAATGCATGAGTATCCCAATTCTATTTCCTCACATAAGGAAATACGTAATCCAAACAGCAATTGTATCAAAAATTAAAATAAATAGGAAAAGTCCCGTGAACAGAGCCCACTCTGTAATTGGTTCAAATTTGCTTCAACATAATAGTAAAGGGAATTTTATTGAACAGACAGTCCGGTGTTACAGACTCTCTGATTTTTAAAGCGTATGGAACAATCTCCCACGATGCCACCATAATTATTGAACACAAAATGTCTTTAAGCCTGGCACTTATGCCATTTTCGTCTCCGGGTATCCTTCGCACTGTTGTACTCGCGGAAGAAAAATAGGAAGAAAACTATATAGGTAACTATGTAAGTAGCAAAACAAAAAAGTCTGTCAAACAAACAGGGTTATCACAAAATTTCTTACGAAAAGAAAAACAGCATCAACATGACCTTCCAGTTATCAAGTTGAACATGAACAATATTAAAGTTTGATTACAATAGTTTATTTTTTTTTAAAGTGAAAAAATAATAATAAATGAATTATTCTTTAAAAATGAAAAGTTCAATACTAAGGCATCAAAAAAGTTGGAAAAATAATACAGTATGTAGGATAAAAAATAAATTTGGTAACTTCAAACACACACGAGGTTTAAATTCTTGAATCGGAATTTTATAAAAATTTTCTAACAAACTTTCATGCGAGGAAATTAATACTATTAATTTTATAATCTTAACATCTGAAATGTCTGTAATATTTAAAAAAAAATTCCCAATAGTTTTTTAGTAACAAAATTTCTGTTATTATTAAATATACCTCCATTCAAAAAAAAAACCAAATAAATGACTCTTTTGAACTAATCATAATGCATTTGAGCTATAACTTAATTTGAACATTGTTTAAAATAAAACGCAATGTGAAGTATATTTTTAAACTCTGCATTAATATTATTCAAAATATTTGAATGTTAAAATCAATAATTGAATGTAGAAGTATTTGAATGTAGAAATCAATAAATTAAAAAAACAAAAAATCGTTTTACCTGATGACACTCTTGCGTTCTTGTAAAGAATGGCGTGAGATATTTAGTATCCAATTTCATAAACAGGTTTTGAGCAGTGAGACTGCCACTCTCTTCGATTTCTGATTCTTTGTCACCGATGATTGTTTTACCCTGGAAATTAAATTAAATGTCACCTTATCTTAATCAGGTTTCTCCTGCGGAATTACTTCAAAGTCAGATTCAGGCGGTAGATATTGACGATTTGCGCTCGGAATTAACTAGCTTATAACTCGTGTTGTCAACTTCAAAGTGATGCTTCATAATGAATTCAGACGCGTTAAAATTACTGTTAATTAACAAACTTTTGTTCTTGGTTTTTGAAGGGGTAGAAAATCCTGAGTACATATGGAAACAGCGTGCAACCTTCAAAAATATGACGTTTTGCAACAATTTCACGAAATCCAAGCGTTTTATCCTTTTTTACCTTGATTGCTGCCACCCTGATAATGAATATTATACGCCCTTCTCGAAGAGGTTAAATGATTAGTTTGATAATGCATAATAAAATAGAAGCTTTGAAATATCAAAATTTTCTATACTTTTGTCGTTTAAAATTTCAAAGCACGTTATGGATTTATCAAATTCTAGTAAAATATTACATACCTATATTTTGAACGTGGAATCAGCTTCTAGCAATAGATAAAAAAGGAATAATAGATTGTGAACCTCTGGTATAGAAGGTCCACTTTTTCAAATTCATATAAAATGTAACTTAAACACTTCAGTCTCTCAACTCTTTATTTTATATCATTAGATTGGGAATACGATGCATAATGAACAATTTTTTTTATAAAAAGGCAGGCGAACAATTCAAATTTTAGAATGCAGCATCAGTATATAACTAAAATGAGGTGAAGTAGTTCCGATTCCTAACATGAGGTGATGGTTAGTCTTGATGGTACAATCAAAGAATAAGAGAGGTTTTCATGTGATGTTAAGTTAAAAACCGTTAAACTATGATGGTTCCTGATGGATTGCTTTTGTTGGGCCATCAAACAAAACCATCAAATCATGTTTATAAAACCAATCAATATATAACCAATCAAACCATTTTTTTAAATAAAAAGTCAGATGAGCAATTCAAATTTTAGATTTCCGCAGCAGTATATAACTAAAATGACATAAAGTAGCTCCGATTCCTAACATGGGGTGATGGTTAGTCTTAATGGTACTATCAAAGAATAAGAGGGGTTTTGATGTGATATTAAGTTCAACTGTTAAACTATGATGGTTCTTGATGGATTGCTTTTGTTGAGCCAACATACCATGTTTTTATAACCAATCAAACCAAATAATATATCTTCAAACCATTTTTTTATATAAAAAGGCAGATGAGCAATTCAAATTTTAGACTTCCGCATCAGTATATTACTAAAATGACATAAAGTAGTTCCGATTCCTAACATGGGGTGACGGTTAGTATTGATGGTTCAATCAAAGAATAAAAGGGGATTTGATGTGATATTAAGTTAAAAACCGTTAAGCTATGATGATTCCTGATGGATTGCTTTTGTTTTGTCCATCAAATAAAACCATCACACCATGCTGGTTTTGCTCATGTTAGTCCAACACAAAGTTGTTCCAATTCTTAATATTGGATGATGGTGATTTTCAATGGCACTATCAAGAAGTAAGATGGTTTTTGATGGATGTGCATAATGCTAACCATCTAGTTCATGTTGGTCCATCGCAGAAAAACCATCAAAAATTTTGTCTTGGGTTCATAATCTGTAGCTTTAAGTAATAAGAGAGGTGGTTTAAGAGAGGAAACGTGTACCAATGCAATAAATTCATATCAATTTTAACTTATCTTACCATATTATCAGTTTTGATTAAGCAAATGCTACTGGGTGCAATTTTTTTCTTGCAGGGATCTTTCTCCTTCCACTGCAAATACTAAAGGAAAAATTTTTATTTAAAATTTTGTTTCAGTTTAACAAAGGTGAAAAGCAAAATATTTGATAAATTTTATTATTTAATGAAAATAAAGCTACCTGAAACGCGTATTTGTTTACAATACGAAGTCTTAGTAATTTTTTAAATAACTTTTATGAAAAATTTGTTAGCTTTTACTTTCTAAAATTTGGTTATTCAGATTTGTTAAACTCAAATTTTTAAAAAAATCGAAAGACTTATTGGCTTCTAAAAATAAAAATAAATTTAAATTATTTTTTTAAGAATATACAACTGCATTACTATGTAAAATCATCAGAATAGTGGTTCTACTAAAGTTTCTCTTAAATTTTGATGGTCCAGCCAGCCCTATTTTTTAGTGGACCAAGGTATCCCATATTCTGGATTTTTTCAAAAGATCAGAATAATTTCTCTTTTTCTTTGGAAACTTAAATAGCTGCAAATAATTATTAAATCAATAATCAACCTTGTAAAATATTAGCAATTTATTGCTGTATTCCTATAGAAATAAATTTTAAAAGATAAAGTAGTGAAGTTCTAAAAATTACACAGGAGTGCTAAAATAAAACTTCAGGAAATAAAAATGGCAAACTTTAACTGAAATATACGATTTTTTCATAGGATATGAAGTATTAGTAATAGAGCATGTTGTTGGAAAAAAAAAACAAATAAAAATATTTAATAGACTAAAAATAGTTGAGTCTGATGGCTCAACGTGCTCCTAGGTTTAATGTGCCTATAGGTCCAGTCTACCCCGCCTCCCTCTATAATTAATAAATACATAAAAACTTACACTTATATATATTTTATATATATTTTATATATATTTTAAAAATTAATAGTTTGTTGTATTCAGAAAAAAATATGAAATTCATTATCTTTAAAACTGTAATATTACAATAAAATTGTTCATATTTCGTACCTGGAAAACGTGTTTTAGATCTTTAAAAAGCGGTGTCATTTCATTGTATTGAATTCAGATGAGCATTTTTAATAGTGTTTCTTGTAAAAAAATCTCAAAAATTTCAATTTCATATGTGTACAGTAATTGCCGTCTTGCAAAAATTTCTGAAACCTCTAAAATACATATTTAGTTAATAATTCAGGTGTAAAATGCTTTTATTTTTTATTACATTGCTGATTCCATACAGATTCTTAGTATCATACCTAAGAGTAATTAAGAGAATTTTTTCCAATTTAATGAAATGTTTTATATCAAATGAATATGTTTCATTCTATGCCTCTGTATTCCGTAATTAATATGCCTGCTTTCATAACTATATTTTTTAGCAATGTATATATACTTAATTCTAGGATAATTTCCGCATTGGTGTGCTCACTAAGTACTGCTCACTAGTGCAGCTTGAGGACTGCTTTAATTGATGGAATTGCACTTACTTTCAAAAGCGGCATTGTACTTCCTCCGAACACAATTGTTGTAAACAGAACAATAACTAAGGTTGTGGTTATAATAAGGTTGCGTTTGTTTTCTTCAAACTCAAACTTTAGTGAACAGGCGTATGCCACAGCACCACGGATTGCTGGAGAAAAAAAATTAAAGACCTTATGAATATGTCGTTAACCTTCATCTATATAAACATAAAAAATTAAACATATACAATAAGTAAACATGTCAATAAGTATAAGAAGATTATTCATTATTAAAAGGAAAAGATATGCTGAAATTTCTTTAATAATTAAAACATCGAAATATAGAGAATAAAACACTTAAACTTATTGTTTCAAATACATCATGTTTATTTGTAAAAAACAAAGCAATATTATTAAATTTTATAGCTGAAATATTTATTTTATAATTTACGAATGATTGGTTGGTAAAAATCCTGGTTTTCGTTACCGCTATGAGGAAATTGGATAATTTTCACCAAAACTGAAATGGCGGTTTTTTTATTTATTAAATTCACTAAGGAAATTAGATTTTAAACAATAATAAAAAATTGCTGATTCTTGTATTCGTACCTTAGAATAGGATTTGACCACATTTTTTTAATATTACGTACCCTCTTCGTGTATATTTTTTAAGAAAATGAGCTATTAAATATGATATGCAATACATTAATGATGGGTTTGTACAACGTGCGAAAAGCACCAAAAAAAGAAGACCTAACTATATAACTTGTGTAACTTGCGTTCTAGGACTCAATCTTAATAGTTTGAATGGGTGACCTCAAATTTGCTAATTAATAAGTGTTGACGATATTTAAAGTTACGAAATCAGACACAAAAGCGTACTTTCTCTGAATAAACATACCTTCTTTTCGACGGATACTGATTTCTGACCCGACGGATACTGATTTCTGATTCTGATGCTGTAGCTGCAATCTGGGAAATATGGTCTTCAAAGTTTGGTCAGGAGAGCGATCCAAAGTTCGGACCCCTTAATGTTAATTTTATATTTTGCGCAGTTCGCCATATCTCGAGCACTTTTTAAGCGAATTAAAAAATTCTTGCAAACAATTATAAAATTTGTTCCCCACAAAAAATTAATCTCAGTAAATATTTATTTATTTTCATTATTTTATTTAAAAATTGTTAAAAAAAAATTAAAATGTAAAAAATTATATTTTTTGCATCATTTTAAAGTATGTAATGTTACATGGCAAAATACAAAATTTGAGTAAAATCGGTTGATCTGATCGAATTTCACAAAAGTCGTATATTCAAAATTCGATCATTTAGATCGAAATTTAATAGTTAGGTAAAAGTTAATCAAAAGAAGATCCAATCATTAAATCAAAACCAAAAGTTATTCAGGGTGGTCTTTTTTTTTTTTTTTTTCGTTTTTTTTTGGCGTATTATACATGTGGACTCGTTGTAGGAAAATAAAATTTAGAAGGCTTTTTTGTAAGAAGTTGGTGAATCATTTTATCATTCTGTCTGTCTCTCTCTCGATCTCTCCCTCTCTCTATTTCTACCTCTCTATCTATATATCTATCTATCTATTTCTATCTATCTATTTCTATCTATCTATTTCTATCTCTCTCTATCTATCTCTCTATTTCCATCTCTTCCTATCTCTCTCTCTATTTATCTCCTGGTAAATAATAGGAATTCTGAGGTATCAAAGCATGCGCGAGTTTTTGTAAAAGTGTATTACTACTTACAAAATTTTAAAAAAAATTACCTGATTCCATATGTTTACCAAATCTTTGTCATTCAACATTTAGAAAATTCTAATCAAACAATGCATGCTGAATCTGCATTATATGCATAAACATGAAGTACATATTAAGGAGTTTAATATGTGTTATAATATTTTTTTTTTAAATAGTATGAAATGTCAATGAGCATAGATGTGAAACGTATGTTAAAGGAGATTGGTAGAAGTGTAAAATAAGTTTTTAATATAGCCTATTTTTCAGTCCTACGTTATTTAGATTATTGTACATAAAACACCCAAAAAAAGTCAAGTGTAAATGAATAAGTACTCTTACCACTAAACCATATGATGAACATCATCTTAGGAGAAATTTTGTGTTGACGAAAAATATTGACAAAGACGCTGAGGGGAAAAACACTTACAGCTCTTGCAACAAGACAGAGTAACTACAATAGAGACAGAAAAAATTGCATTTTTATCAATAAAACTGGAAGCATTAAATTTTGAGCAAATGTTTTTTTTCTATTAAAAGGACACTTTATCCCTGTAGAATAATGTCAAAACTGACGAACAGATGGTGAATTTGTACACTTTTGGTGAATTGGGTGGTGATGGTGAATTTGTACAAACCGCTTTTTAGCGTGAAAAGTTCAATGCAAATAGACTTTCTTAGCTTTTACTATACGCATATGAGCTGATAATCCTAAGAATTACAGGAGGAATAAAAAATTCTAGAAAATTTTCAAATAGCCTGGCGCATTGCTGAATATGGCAGTGCATGCAACAGTGGACGAGGGGATAGAGCACTCATCATCCAAAGATCTTCCAAAGACCATCCCTGAGTTCGAATCCCGGTATTTGCTAGTCCATAGGAATTCTGCTCCTGGTTCGCACCGACCACATTGCCGACCAATACCCTCAGTGGTAGACGGGTCATGGGTTAGAATTCCATTCCAATCGGGGTAATCGTAACAGAGTTTACATTTTCCCCTCTCTATGTACTGCAAATGCAGGTTGGTTCCATCAAAAGATCCTCCATTAAAACTAGTTTGTTCCTATGTTTGATCCGGGAGTTCCTTTGTCTTCTGGATTGGTTTCAAAATTGCAAGGCTGTGGAGTTAAACATTGTTAGTGGTAAACTTAGGTTTGGGTGAGCTGTTCAACGACAGTTATTAAATGAAATTAAATGAATTTACGAAAAATTAAAGTGCAAACCGATAAATTTAATTAAAGTGATCGATCTTAGAATTATGCTGCCTTTCAGTTTGAATTTGAGCTCATTATTCGTTTTAAAGAAGGTAGTTTATTACAAAACAGTATTGAAAAATGCCAGATTTCAATAAGAGTACAAAAATCACGTTTTAAATCGATAGGCTAACATTCGAACTAGGTAGACCAGGATTTAATGCTTTTTTTTTTAAATATGTCACTCACCATTGCTGTAGTAATTAATTTTTAATCTAAATTTTAAAAAATCTTTTGTAATTGATCACTATAAGCCTTTTATATATGTACAATATTTAGCAAGTATTGAAAAATGAAAAAAAGCTAGATAACCAATTATTTATAAAAAAATAATGCATTGTGGGTTTTTTAAACGTTAAAAAAAAACACGATATGTTGTTCCTAGACATAAGGTAATTCCCCTTCAAATACTGTCATATCATGCATTGCAAAATTAAGCAGGAAAAAAAAGGATTTGAAAGCTGTTGGTAATTGCCTTCAAAGTTATAAGACTTATTTTCTTATCCTTAAAAAATCCATTATAAGCAATTTTTAATTCATTCAAGAAAAAAAATTATTTTGCAAGAAAACAAATTAGAAAATAAAACTTAAAGCTGATAAAAAATATCATTTTTTATTCGAAAAAACACTTTGGTAGCTTGTGTGTCATCATCTAAAATTGAAGAAAAAAAGTATTTTTTCTATTCTTTTTTTTACAATAATTTAAACGAAAAGTTTTGGAATTACGTGACAATAACTATTTTAAAGTTGTTTTATACTTATATACACAAAATGTACACCTATGCGATTAAATTATTATTAAGTTTAAAGAATAAATATCATTACTACAATTGCAATGGCAAACTAGGTCATCGGTGAACTAAATATGGTGAACTAATTATTGAAAGAATTTCAATTATAAATAATTAAACTACATTACGCTTTTCTTCAGAAATATATTTTCTAATTTAGATAAAAAAAAGTGTATGTTTCTGATAAATCAGTACCTCTAGAGGCACTAAATCGGAGATTGATCTTTCTTTGGTTAAGGTCAAAATTACAATATGTGTAGGAATGAGTATAGTATGATTGTGCCCTTTCTGTAAAAGGGGCTGTGACGTGTGTGTGGCTCAAGTCATATTCTTGGTCATTTATGGCTCCACTGAAAAACAAGAAACGCGCCCTCTACCTTAAAAGTTCGTTTGATTTCCCAAGCAGGCTTGTTGATATTGGCAAGTGGCATAAGTAACAACAAGAACAATGTTTCTGATCAAATAATCCAGTCATAATTTTGAAGGTATGTTAATGCAACAAATTATTCATGTTTTGAAAGTCATTTTTAAACTGTTACTATTTAGAAAAATAATGGCAGAAAAAAAACTTACCAACGTAGCCAAAATGAAATAAAAATCAGCAGCGATTTTAAAACTGAATATTGAAAGACCTAAATAAGCAAATACGCAAGTTTCTGTAAAGAAAGAAAATAAATTTTAGATTATGTTTATTAAAAATAAGCTGCTGGAATGAAGTGATTATTGAAATTTATTGAAATTGCATACATTTGCTGGCCTGTGTGTCCAATTTAGGCTTATAAGCCTTTGTCAAGTAGAAGGACAGATGGAACAATTCAGAGAGCCGGCCAGGTGGCCGAGCGGTTAGCGTTCCTGACTGCGAAGCCATAGGCTGCGGGTTCGAATCCCGCTCTGGGCATGGATGTTTCTCTCTCTCTCTCTCTCTTTGTGCTGTCCTCTGTTGTGTGTGTGTATGATGTGTGAATGTGGCCCACCCTATAAACGGGTTTGTGGCAGTGTGGCGTGGGCAATGTTTCTCGCCTCCGTGACTTTGGTTCACAGGTGCCCACTGGGTAACGCGAAATGAGCAACAATTCTGGCATAGTATAGGCAAGGATTCAAATTCAGTGCCTGCCATAGGAGGAAAAAAAACAATTCAGAGAAGGACATCACGAAAAATACATCCAGGGTTACGGCGGGATTCGAACCCGCTACCTCCACACTTTGCACAGCGTTTGTCCGGCAATACCGCTCAGTCAATTAGGCCCCTAGTGATTATTGAAACGCCGTACTTTATTTATTGAATTTACATACATTTGCAGGCTTGTTTGCTCAATTTAGGTTTATAAGCCTTTGACAAATAGAGGAACAGATAGCACAATACATAGAAGGATATCACGAAGATACATCCAGGGTAACAGTGGTATTCGAACCCGCTACCTCCACACTTTACACAGCGTTTGACAGGCGATACTGCTCGGCCAGGGAGGCCGCTCTGCCTTTTGAGTTGAAATGTCGTTAAATTTATTTACTTTATTAAAGAAATATTTATTCGCAGAAGAACAATGAATACTAAGCTATATGTACATGTTTTTTTTTTCTAAAATTTATGTACAGAGAGTTCAGTAATCTCAAATTTAATATATATTTCACAAATGTTTTGTAAGAATTATAAAGTAAAAATATGAGCATATTTGGGACCGCAAACTTACTTATAATTTAGCATAAAAATAATAAATAAATCAAAAAGAATTAATAATAATAGTAGCTATAAATAGAGAAAAATATTAATAAATTCGGACATTATATAAAAGTGAATACAGGATTAAAAACATAAAAAAAAATAATTGCCAGACGATACTCAAAGGCGTTTTTAATAATCCCCTTTTACTTCCTATCAATCAAATTGGTTTTTATCGTTTTTAACCCCATTCTCTTCATTAAAAGTTCATCAATTTTCACTTAACTATGTGTTTGCGATCACCAACACACCTTAACATACTTTATTTGACTTTGTCTTCAAGAAGGATTCGAAAACTATGAAACACATCCGCTAAGGAACACCCTGCAATTGGATTAAAAGTTTTCGAACATCATTCCTTTTACACGAATAATTAGAGGATTTTCTATTAGAAAACAAACATCAATATACCGTCACAAATTTACTATAATTTATGATACTTTATAACTTACTCTCCAAATCTTAATATATTCTATTTTATTTCATGATAAGCGGTGAACAGCAGAGCCATTTTTAGGTTTACAATATTGATGTTCAACTCCGTATCCTTGTCATTTTTAAACCAAGCCAGAAAACAAGCAATTTCCTGGATCAAGCATTAATCATGGAAGCCATTGGAGAGGACTTTTTGTCGGAACTCACATTTTCGTTAAATAGAGAAATAAACCACGGAATCCTCACACGATTAGCTCACAAGAGGATTCTAACCCATAATCCGTCTACCGCTGAAAATATTTTACATTGTCTTTGTGGTTGGTGCTTTTCGGGAGCAGAATGCTTGGGACACAGCCATTGCTGGAATTCAGGCCTGGGTCAATTTATTAAGAGGTGAACAGTCTATCTCAAACGGCAACGCGGCTCTTATAGCTAAAAAACAAAGTTACTTGAAAGGAACTACTCAGGGGAATCAAAATTATTAATCAAGAGCCGTGATGGCTCAGGTGATAAAGCGTTCGCCTTCCAATGAGGCCGCTTTTCCTCTCCATGTAACGCAAATGCGGATTAGTTCCATCAAAAAATTCTCCAAGAAGCCAGATCCAGGAGCTCTTTTGTCTTCTTGATTGGGTTCAAAATTACAAGGCTGTGGAGTTGAACGTTAGTAGTCGTAAACCCAAAAAATTGGGTCGGATGTTCAACGTCGGATGAGATTAATACCTGATATAAATGCAGCGCTTCTAAGAGTCACTTGCATTGTATGTCGAAGGTTCCTAGATAAATTGTAGTGGGTGTATTGTGACATCACTATTCCATTAAACAAGAGTGCAAGAATTCCTATCAAGAAACATAAATAGAATTTAGCGAAATAATTTGAGAAGTAAACACATGCAGCGAAAACGTGAACTTACTCTAATGAACTTGTAAAGTTTGCATACGGAGTAGTAGTTTGCTTAAACAAAATAACAAGAAGCTTTAATATTATATGAAATTTATTGGCTACAGTTGAGATAACCTTGTAAAACTTTATTTCCGGCTTATCATTATAAAGAGTGTACACAAATTGTTTACGAATTGCGTTAGTGAATAATTATGTTCATACACTATCCGGCCAAAAGTATCCGGTTGTTATGGTGGTGGAAGCATAATGATGTGGGGTTGTTTCTCATGGTTTGGCATGGGTTCCTGTGATTTTAAGCATGTACTCTGAGATGTATGTGGACATTCTGGACAATACTGCACTCCTAACTCTATTACCATATTTCGGGGATGGCCAGGGCCCGACTTAGCCTAATTGGGTTCCGGCGCAAAAACTTCTTTTGGGGCCACCCTCTGAACTATTTGGAGGTATTTAAATTTTCCCCCTCATTATACAAATATAACAAGAAGATTGACTAGAACCTAAAATAACTATAAAGTCCCCCTCCCCTCTAATGGTATCGTTTTGTCCATTTTATTGATTTTTCTGACAATTCTATGTGCATCATAAAGAAGCAGTTTTCTGATTGTTAACTCTGTCATCTAGCTGCGAAAAATTCATATCTTTGCTGACATTAGGGCGGAATTCAGCTAAATTTTCGCAATTACGATGGCTGACTTAAGCCAATCAGAAGTCTGTAACTCTGTAAAATATCGTAATTTGCGATATGTAAAAATACAGGCTATTGATTGGCCAAATTTGTCCATCGTCATTGCAAAAATTCAGCTGAATTCCGCCCTAGGATTTACGAATTATATATTTTTCGAGTTCATTTGATAGATTAATGAAGAAGCTAATATAAAACAGACGAATTTTACACTATGCTGATATTTTGTTTAAAAAAAGTTCATTAAAGAGGGAAACCTAAAATAAACTTTTAATTCGATTTAGGGCCCCTTATACCCCTGCCTTTGTCAGGCTTTGGAGAAGGCCCATTTCTCTTCCAACAGGATAACTACTCCATTCACACATCGAGTCTTGCACAGACATTGTTTGATGAAAGGGGTATTCAAAAACTGAACTGGCTTTCTCAGAGCCCCGATCTAAATCCCATAGAATACCTTTGGGACGAATTAAAAGACAGATTAAGTAGCCAGCCAAATCGACCCTCCTTACTGCCAGCTCTCACTTCAACTGTGATGGAAGCCTGGAAGTTAATTCCTATGGACACCTATCAAAAAAGTCTGTGAAAAGTGGTGGGAAGTCTTCTCAGACATATGCAGGCTGTCATCGAAGCAAATGGGGTGTTCCGACATCTATGGAGAATTAGTTGAAATAATTGTTTTAAATCGTCTGCCAACTCTTGTAAATATAATAACTGCAACTCTGGCTGGTTGCTAGGCAACCAAACGACTTTTTCTTGTTATTAATGTTTTCTTCCCACTGACATACACAGACGATAAACAAAGCATTAATAACAAGAAAAAGTCGTTTGGTTTCCTAGCAACCAACCAGAGTTACAGTTATTATATTTACAAGAGTTGGCAGACGATTTAAAACAATTATTTTAACTAATTCTCCATTGATGTCGGAACATGGGGGACAAACATCTCATTAATATGTCCCTCAGGACGCTCAAAGTCCATATCACTGAGTGACCGGATACTATTGGCCGGATAGTGTAGGTGACCTGACTGTTTACAATAGTTGAACCAGCCGGGTATTCATAGGTGCCGAAGGCAGATCTAAAATCAGGCAAATCTGAGTCATGTACGAGACTATCAGACAATACAATTATATTTATAAGTGTAAATGCTTTCTAAAATTTATGTTTAATTTTTGAATCAAAAATACTATTACTTATTAATAGTTTAAAGTATAAACCAATCCATTCATACTTATAACAACGAGGTAAAATTNGATCTAGTTGCGCTTCTATGTCATTTTGATTTATGTTGCTAAGTTAACTTTCAAAAGATTCTATGGCTGGCAACAGCATTTTTATTTTTTAAGTTGTTTATTTTTATTTCTTTTAGAATTCGTTATTTTTTTAGCGAAATGTTTTTTAACCTAACAGAATTCTTTGCCGACTGTTTTCTCTATGGAGGAAGAAAATAAAGTATATATTTAACTGTTGTGAAAAGAATCTTATTTAGTTGTACAAAATACTTCAGTCAAAATTTGGGAGCCACGTAAGAGAATTATATATATTAGATCAGAAACACATTATTAAAATGCAGAATGCTTTGGTGTTTTCAAAACAAAGCAAACGTTGCCACCGGCGGAAAAGAAATTCAGTCAAATTTTGGGAGCCACGTAAGAGAATTATATATAATAGATTTCCACTGACATACACAGACGATAAACAAAACATTAATAACAAGAAAAAGTCGTTTGGTTGCCTAGCAACCAGTCAGAGTTGCAGACATTGTATTTACAAGAGTTGGCAGACGGTTTAAAACAATTATTTTAACTAATTCTCCATTGATGTCGGAGCATGGGGGACAAATATCTCATTAATATGTCCCTCAGGACGCTCAAAGTCCATATCACTGAGTGTCCGGATACTATTGGCCGGATAGTGTAGGTGACCTGACTGTTTACAATAGTTGAACCAGCCGGGTATTCATAGGTGCCGAAGGCAGATCTAAAATCAGGCAAATCTGAGTCATGTACGAGACTATCAGACAATACAATTATATTTATAAGTTTAAATGCTTTCTAAAATTTATGTTTAATTTTTGAATCAAAAATACTATTACTTATTAATAGTTTAAAGTATAAACCAATTCATTCATACTTATAACAACGAGGTAAAATTTTTAATCATCTAATTACCTGATATTTGAAGTACCTCAGCCAAACAATAAGGAGCATATATGAATATGAGAATCATTCCAAATTCCAAGGATGGATACTGATTAAGAGCTAAATGTTTAAATAAGTAAATAGTTAAAGAAAATACTTTTTTTTGTATGAAAAAGGTAGTATACAGGGATGCAATTTTTCACAAGTACATAAGCCCCGTTTCTTTTATTAGAAGCTAAAAATTACTAAGAATAACTGAAGTATTGTAATTCAGAGTTCATTATTATTAAATGTATTTCTCAGTTCAAAGCCACAGAGTATACAGTAAAGTTCATAATCACTGCATGGTGGTAATCTTATTGTATAGTAAAAATCATAAATTTACTGAATTTTACAGTTCATAATAATTGAATTTGTTGTACAGTTCATAAATTTTGAATCTATTGCTCAGTTTAAAATCACTTAATATACAGTACAGTTCATAATCACTGTATTGTAGTAATCTTATTGTTTGGTAAAATTCTTAATTTTAATGAATTTTACAGTTAACAATAATTGAATTTGTTGTACAGTCCATAATTATTGAATGTATTGCACAGTTCAAAATGACTAAATATACAGTATAGTTCATAATTATTGCATTGCTTCAATATTATTGCATTGTAAAATTCATCATGAAATTCTATTTTACTGTTAATAAATAGTGAATGTATATTACAGATCATAATAATTGAATGTATCATTAATGTTAACATTCATTGAAAGTACAGCACAGTTCATTGAATATACTGTATCATTCATAATCATTGAATGTATAGAGAAATTAATAATCTTCTAAAAACATTCACTTACTTCGAAAAATCTATATTCAGTAACTCAAAACAATTATTTTAAAATCAAGCCCAAAATGAAAAGCAAAGAAAAGAATGAGATTCTAATAAACAAAATTTTAATTGCAATCTGCGTTTTTTAAGACTAAATTTGTTTTTGAAACAAATAAAATTCTTCGAAGACCGATTTAACTTGTTTGAGTTCTCTTTCTTTCATCAAGTGTAAAGTTGATTAATTCTTTGGAATACTCCTCTAGAAAAACACAGGAATTTAATATATTTCATAAAATAAAAATTTTACATATTCTGAGAGGTCTGAGTACATAATTAACAAGTAAGTGATGAATCTGCGATCGGAATTAAACTCATAATATTATCTCTACATAATACAATTTCCGAGAGAAAATAAGTTTTTGTTAATTTTTTAAGAAAAAAGTTCACAATTAGGAAAATTTAACAAGCACACAAAATAGAACAATAAAAGGATATTAGAGCAGCAATTAATGCAAATACTATTCCCACAGCGGCAGATGTAACAAAAACAATAAGAAATCTGACAATGCATTCTAATATAATTCCAGAAATAGGAATATTCATGAGGCTTTCTTTTTTAGATGCTTCCCAGACGGCGCTGAAATAAGAGAAAAAAAAGTTAAGAATACAAATCAAATATTAAATCGTCTGCTTTTAAAATGAACTAATAAATTACTTCATCACTGAAAGACTTCAAGAAACAAATAACTGCTTGGCTGAAATAAAAGATAAACTCTTTTTTACTTTAGGAACGAAATAATTTGTGGAAATGGAAATGAATTTATCTTCCTAAAATAATGAAATAATTTTTTAAAATATTTATATTTATATTGTTGCAAACGATAAGGAAGTAATTAGCTCTATGAATTTATTTTTTTAACAGTAGTATGATAACTAAACTGCACACTCGTTTGTATTTTTAGAATCTTTTAATTTGTAGCTTAGATTGAAAACGATTCATTGTTTAAGTAAATTTGGAACCATTTATATTTCCTTTTTAGTTTAGAAAAGTGATATATTTTAATAAATGAAGAATTTAGTACATTCAATGAGTCTAAAAAAAAGAAGTTAATGAGAATGGAAATTTTAAAAAAAAGGAACAGCTTTAAGCTTTTCGGAAATCATGAACTATAATACTAAAAAATAATTATGCTATGTAATCACTATTATGTCAGCATAATTCTTTTTTTGAAGTTACTTTCCGGATATTTACGTACTATCCGGTCTACCATTTTCTCCAAATTAGAAAATAAATTTAGAATTGTTTCAAAATTAAATATTATTTATTTTTTGCATCTCATTTTTTATAATAAGTTATATTTGTAATTTGCGTCAAGTTTTTATTATCTGCTACTTTATTAAAATAAATTTGAAAGATACCAAAATGACTGGCGCGATGTTGGCGAAAATAGTCACTGGGAAAATACGGAGGTTTTTCTTAATACCAAAAAGCCACAGTGCTATCTAGCAACATTGACAGGAAACGGATGATACTGCATATTTGAATAGTTAGCATTCTACAGTATAGTTGTATACAAGTATAGTTTTATAATTAATATCTCTGTCATAATTTTTTTATGTCTGTATGATTAAATTCATAGCATGAACGAAAAATATTTTTCTCTCTTTTTACAGTTCCACAATTACACTTCATTTAAGAAAGGATTATATGAATTTTCGGTAGTGTTTTGAATTTTTTTCAATGTTGTGTAGAAACGTTGAATTTTCTATTTATTTCCAAATCTTTTATTTTAGATTTTAATTCCATTATTCGCAAATAGGATTTCTGTTATGTTTTTATTCAATCCAGTTTATTTTAATTTTATTATATAAATCCTACCATAAACAGAGAAAAGAAAAATTTACACCAAAAAGTATTTATCAACTAAAAGCAATAACACTTATTCGTATTTATTCTCATACAAGTTTTAATGGAATTATGGTTCATATGAAGCAAATTGGTATGAATTACATTCAATATTTTAAAAAAATGTGAGAGGAGTTAAAATATTTAAGTTTTTCTGGCATACTATAGTTTTTTTTCAATCCCTTTGAAAACTATCCTGTTGGTGCAAAATTATCATAATAATGTAAGTATTAGGATAACCGGAAAGTAATGTTGTTTCGGCTCCTTAAATATTCATTAGTCTTAAAAACCAATTCATTTTTTTTCGATTCATTTTCGATCGCACATTGAAAGACGAGGTGAATACATTATTGATTACAAATAAAATCTTGATAACAAATATCTAATGTACCGAAACGGCATTACTTTCCGATCCCCCTAATATTTATAAACATCCTCTGTATACCTGGAAAGCACAATGGCTACAGCATCATTGAGAATACTTTCGCCTATCACCAGCATATTCAATACAGGTTCCACATCTAGAGCATAAAATACCGCCAAAGTGGCGACAGGATCCACAGAAGACAAAAAAGATCCAAAAGCGAAACTCTCCGTAAAGCTTAATTCATATATAACATTTTTCTAGGTAATAAATGAAGAAAACATGATTTAATTTACAGTATTCGACATTATCACAAAATCTTAAGTTATTTAGCCTTTTTTGTTAGTAAATTAAAATAACGCTCTAAGCAGTATGCAAAAAGTTTAAAAAAACTTTTTTATTCAATTTTTTTTTCGAAACTGAATCTATTTTTGCTTATTTCTTTCATGCTGTTTTTGGAAGTCACTATGCGAAGTCATACCTCCGTGAGCTAATCCAGATAAAAAAATATATATATCCTTCCGTTAGTTGTTTTTATTTGCTTTAGCGTTTTTCAAATTTTTGCTAACAATAAATATGTTTCTTTAAACAAAAACATTTAAAAATGAATTGAAATATTAAACATACAAAAAATTATCTGGATTTTTTTTTTTAACAAATTGGGTAAAACAACTAGTTATGCAACCTGAAACTGTGCGGAAGTGACGTAAACTAAATCGCTTCCGACATATCATTAAGGAATCCCAATTCTAATATTTTCGTAATTACTAAATTAAATACAATAATAAAAATCGGTTAATTTTCTTACGCAACGTTTCTTAAAAATATGCTTTAATTCTAATGTAATTATGCTCTTGTAACTTAAAATTAAAACGATCGTTACCGCTATTACGAAATAATTTATTGTATTTATCCGTTAAGAGAAATATTCTTACAACTTACGTTCTAGTAGAATTAACTATCATAAATTTGTTTCTTATATAAAACTATAATTGAGATAGATCAAGCGCCCTATTATATATTCCCACATCTCTCTGGGTTCAAAACATCTAACTAGGGAAGTATGTACTCAGAAAAATCCAGAGTTTTTCTCTTCTGTCACGTGCTCCCTTTCTTTCGGCAATATTGGCGCGAAGAGAGAAGGGGGCTGTGTGACAGTTGTGATGAGTTCTCGATCATTTTTTAAAAACAAGACTTTGCTATATTAAAAATTATTTTAGAATTCCAGTTTTTTTTGTTAAGTATAAACTGTACGAAATTGTTAAATTTATTTAAATTTTTTTTTAAAGATGTTTAAAGTTTTTTAAAATGGTAATAATGTATCATGTGATAACCACTTATGGGTGCTTTTTTTAAGTTTTAAAAATGGTTTAAGATGTTTCAAATAATTTACACTAGCAAAACAAATGTCCATATAGGGCCGGGATAGCCTGGTCGGTAGGGAGCTGGGCCCATGTCCGAGAGTTCGTGGGCTCGAACCCCTCCGGCCGAAGACTAGTAGTAAATGGTGACTGGTGCACGTTAAATCTATCGCGTCTCAAAGTCCTCCATGTTCCCATAACAAATCAATACCTCTGGGGTTCTGGATTGGAGATTGATCGTTCTCTGGTTCAGGTCAAAATTATGAGTGGGTGTATAATGTGTGTAGGAGTGGATGTATAAATGCGTCCACCCTAAAAATCGGTGTGGCAGAAGTCGAATTCTTGGCTATAGATGGCGCCACTTGAAAACAAAAACAATCGCACCCCTCTGACTTAACAGGCATATGAGAGAGAGAGAGAGAGAGAGAGAGAGAGAGAGAGATCCATATTCATGATTGAAGTTTACTAAACTTCAAAATTTTGAAATTGTCCATAAGTGGGAGTAAGAAGGGGTGGGGATATCTTCTGAACATCACGTTGGAAGGCATCCCAAATATGTTCAATAATGTTCATGTCTGAGGATTTTGGTGGTCAGCGGCACTCTTCTGAATTTAGACACTTCCGCTGGCCACCAAAATCCCCAGACATGAACTTTATTGAACATATTTGGGATGCCTTCCAACGTGATGTTCAGAGGATATCCCAACCCCCTCTTACTCCCACTTATGGACAGCCCTGCAGAATTCATGGTGTCAATTATCTCCAGCACTACTTCACACATTGATCGAATCCATGCCACGTTGCGTTGCGGCACTTCTGCGTGCTCGCGGGTACCCTACACGATATGAGGCAGGTATATCAGTTTTTTTGGCTCTTCAGTGTATAAAGCATGTATCACATTTTAGTATTAAACTCAGGGAAGTTTTTGGAAAAAAATGTTTTAGTTAAAATAATCTATATATATATTTCTCTTACACGGCGACAAAAAAAGCCTCATTACAACTCCCCGAATGGCAACGCTAGAAAATCGACCAATGATTGCCGCTAAAAATGTCACATGCCAAATCTAGCTGAGATGGCTCATCATATAGCGCTTTTAAAAACGGAAGCTGAAATAACCAGAGAGAGCCTAAGCTAGGCAGAAGTGAGTAGTCTTTGTCGATAGATCTCTATTTTAGTATTTTGTCGAAAGCGCTTTTTTCACGAATTTATATATTACGAATTTATTTGACGATTTTTGATTTATATCACGAATTTATTTGTTTTACTAGAATTTATTTGTTTATGCAGGTTTTTCCATTGCAATTCACTTATTTCAATTTTTTAATAGACTTAATTATAGCCAAAGTTTTAACCTTTTTAAAGAGATATCAGTTTTAGAAATTTTATCTTAAGACTAGTGGGCTGCGCCCACTGCTCGCTAACGCTCGCCAACCCCGAAAATTGCTACGCAATCTTTTATGGTTAGCTTCGCAAACCAAGCTCGCTTCGCTCGCTGCTAACTTAGGTACATTACAAAAGCAAGAAATTCTAAGAATTCAAAACAATCATTCAAATCCATATAACAACTTTTTTTCTTAAATTACATCTTTTTAGAAAATACGTAAGTCATTAAAATAAATTTGAATTCAAATAAAGACTCATTGACTGAGACTCATTTTTCAATAAATAACTAAAAACAATAATAAAACAAATAAATTCGTGATATAAATAAAAAATCGTCAAATAAATTCGTGAAAAAAAGCGCTTTCGACAAAATACTAAAATAGAGATCTATCGACAAAGACTACTCACTTCTGCCTAGCTTAATAGTATGAGATTGCCGCAGCTGAATTGTTATTTCAGTTTCCGTTTTTAAAAGCGCTATATGTTGAGCCACCTCAAGCTAGATTTGGCATGTGACATTTTTACCGGCAATCATTGGTCGATTTTCTAGCCTTGCCATTCGGGGAGTTGTAATGAGGCTTTTTTTTGTAGCCGTGTAAGAGAAATAATTTCAAAAAATGATGTATTAATGCTGAATAATTAACTCTAATTATTATTTTATGATAAAGTTACGTTCTTATTAGTTTATATTTTCTTGTTGGACATTTTAATAGTATGAATTTGGAATTTAGAACAAAAAGGAATGATTGCGAATAATATTATTCTTTAAGTAAAAGAAAGAATTGCGTAAAGTTTATTTATATAGTAAATATAACAATTGTGATTCCCAATAATGAATAAAATAAATACCCTATGAAATAAAGTTCTTTAGTACATTTTTCTGTTAAACCAAATATAGCACAGTATTCCACTATATTTTAAGATTTTGGACATAAAAGCTGGCGCATCGAATTCCTTTCATTAAAATAACAAAGAGAAACGGGATGTAAAATATTTCCCTCACTATTCACCCACCAACCACTCGGTTTCATTCAGAGAAAAAAATTATCCTGCAACACGTGCTCTACTTGCATTACATCTTTATGGTCTTTTTTCTGTAAAAATTATTAGTGTATCTTCTGACCAAAAATGGTGGTAACTACTTTTTTTTAAAAAAATAACAGTCGTTGAACAGCCGACCCAATTTTCGGGTTTACGACTACTAATGTTCAATCCCGTAGCCTTGTAATTTGAACTCAATCCAGAAGACAAGGGAACTCATGGATCAAGTATTGGGTGAAATTTGCCTTCCAACTACAAAATTGAAGAAATACAGAAACACAATCTTTACAAAGCTTGTATCCACAATAAATTAACTAAGTTAAACTTTTTTAGGAGGAAGTCGCTTTGTTTAAATTGTTACTTATGCCAACCATTTGCTTTAGATAATTATAAGCAATCATTTAGATAATTATAAAAGGCTGCTAATCTATGTGATTCTTTTGGTAAAAAGTTTTACATTTGCAATTTGCAGTCGAACACTTGCACTAAAAATACTAGGGAAAAACTGAAAAACTTATTTTTTCAGATGTTATTATTATAAACACCCTTTTCTTAAAAAAGTTATGAAATAAAAGTTTAAAAACGATGAACGTTGTAGGTTTTTTCCTTGTATATACATATTTACATTTAAAATCAAAACTTTTTTCCAATATACGCTTCTTTTGGAGCATTATAAAAAAATAAGAAGAAATGTAAAAGTCATTGATTATTTCGAACGAAATTTCTTACCTTCCCTAACCAAAACAAGCAACCACCAATTGTGAAGGCAGACATACCAGTTCCAATTATAGCAAACACGAGAATGGATCCAATATTTTTGAAAAAATTTCCCTAGATGAGAAATTTTGTTTTTGAAATATATTTGAATCAAATTATAATTTTATTTCTTAGCTTTAGCAAGCTATATTAGGATAAAGATTGGTTTCTCCATTATTTCCTGCTGAACAGGTGATAGGCATGAACTTGAGTTTTGATTAATGTGATTGATTACAAGTAACACAATTATCCATATTAAAATTTCAATCATGATTTTAAGCAATCATAATTTACGATTACAGTTAGTCTCGCCATCACAACTAGTACTGAACTACGTTTATACTTTGTTATACCTCATCAATCTCAAATATTACAAACGAAAATTGTAAGATCGTTTCCGTTGTGCTCTATTTTTTTTATTCTTGAAGTTTGCACTACTTTTCATTATGAACATGAATTAAATAAAATATTTTTTTTATCAATGACGTGTTGTAAAGTCGAAGTCTTAATCCCTGCAAACAAATTCCGAAATTTTGATGTAATAAAGAATGTAAATAAAACATCTTATAACAAAAATATTAATTCCAGTTTTTCTGTCTTATGTAAGGGAAAAAGCAAATTATTAAATTATCTTTATATCCAGTAAAATGTTCAGTTGTATTTCAGTTGGTTTTTTTCTAGCAGAAATTGTGAAAAATTGTAAAGTATTAATCTGAAAACATTGATAAAAAACAATTTAGTTTAAAAATGCCAGCTTATTCTCAAAATCCGCCAACGTCATTTCCATTACTTAATAAGGATATTTCGAGTTAGCATCTGTACGCTCCCGTACGCAGAATTGAAGCAACTGCGCATGCTCACGTTTATTTTAGATACTACGTATCTATACATAATGTTGGCTTGACTGTATAATGAGAAAGCTACAAGCACGCTGTTTATTGTTGTTAAATATTGTTTTCTGTTTAAGCCGGCCTTCGAACTAAAAACAAGGCTATGGAAGGCGATTTTAAAGAAATGTATTGATAAAATTTTGAAGTGAATCGTGTGATCTTACAACAAATGGGTTTATTCAACAAAAAATAATAATTTTATTGGTTTTTGTTTAACATTATAGTTGTCTAATTGCACTAGTTCTATAAGAAACTAGATATATTTTCGTTATTTTAAAATATAAATTATATTTATATTTTAACTATACAAACTAGTTTTTTAAAAAAAGTGAAATAATCAATAGAAGTTCAATAATATTTTTTTTAATTATTATTATTAATAACAAAAATAAGCTGCATTCTTTATCGCTGAGTTTATCAAAATCTATAATTTACCAAATTTTTCTGTTCATATATCTGCAGATTTACGTGCAACAATGCATCTTGAATCGCATACCACAGCTTTAAGGAGATAGTCTGTCTATTGTTAATGTTTGTCTTGATTTTGTGGTTGAAGTTAAAATGACAAAGTCCACTTCATTAGCGTTTTTAACTTACAGAGTTTTGCAAAATCTCTTATTTTCACTTATGTAAGTTTGATATATTTTTCATGGGCGCATGCGCATACCAACAAAACTGACGTATGTGCTCTAGAAGTGCTCTTGTGCAATTACTTGATATCTTACGGACTGGGGTGTAAGGAAGCTAACGTAAATTTGCGAAATCTCCCTAATATTTAAAAAAAATCTCACCTTGTTTAAATTGTACGCAGATTCATATATTATTGGAGGCAGCATAAACAGAAAGAATGTCGTCGGATTAAACGTCTCTTTCTTCTTCTTTTATAAAAACAAAAACAGGAAAAAATATTTTACTCAAAATATTCAAATAGATAAATTATTTGCAATCATAAAAATGTATGCTAAAAAGCAAAGCTCTCACGAAACATTTAAATTATATGACGAATCAAACAATTGCGCGAAGCTAAAAGTTTTATGATCAATTTCGTATACCAATTTCTATTAGACGGAAATCATTAAAATATGCCATAAAATAATTATTATTTTTCATACTATTCAACAAATATAGTTTGCATTATCATATCTTCAGAATTTTTAAGCGAATAAATTATTTTCTTAAACTATACTTGTTAAATTACATGTACCATACACTTTATCTTTTTTTTCAAAAAAAAAAAAAAANAAAAAAAAAAAATAAAAAAAAAAAAAAAAAAAAAAATAGCTTTTACACTTGCAAAATAAAATAAAAATTTAAAAAAAGTTGTGATCGCCTAAGTACGATCACTGGTTACCCATTGGTCAAATACTTTTTCTTTTTGGAATGACTCCGTTAAATGCCCACAACATTTCAAATCATGGGTTGCAATAACTGTCTCAATCGATGCTTGTCGTCGGAATTGGTTTTCATATCCTGTCTATGTACGTGTTTCAAGACGTCACAAATTACTTTTCCTTCTTCAGCATTCATATTCAAATTAAAATCACCATCAAGCCATTATACGTTAATAATAAAAAGAATATAAAAATACTTGAAATTAATATTATGTAAAAACATTAAAAATGCCTGCTAGTGAAAATAAGAAAAAACAGCAGCGGTCGACATAGCATCGTATGCAATGATGACGCATGCGCACTGTTTACAGTAACTCTTGAACATAGTTGAAAAGTGTGTAATCGTCATCAAATTCACACCAAGACCCATTTGGCCAATGGGTAATAAATGAAAAATAAACAAATATATAAATAAATTCAAAACTATCTTGATTATTCTGGGATTGGGTTTTAGCTGTAGCAGTTACGCCAGTTACGAAACTAGTATGTCTACTGTTGTGGAATTATTTAAATTTTGGGTTAAAACCGTATACCTTGACATGTAAATTTTATAGTAGCAGAATAAAACAAAATTTCTCTCTGATTAACTCGGGTATGTAAGATAGTACTCTAATGATATCGTGATGGTAGTGGACATCTCTTGAATAGGAAAAATGTATTTGAGGAAAATGTTCTAAATGTTCAGCTGGAAAATATTGTTATTCTACACAATCTAAACGTGACTGACGCATGGATGCATAGAGTACATTGCATTAGAAATATTAGCTTTTGCTCTTCTGCTATCTAAATTCCAACAAAAATGCTAAAAGGAAAAATTCATATTTTTGGCCCTATGAGAAAAAAAATTAACTCACTTTATTAGTTCGCACTTTTTCAAAACATTTTTATATACAAGCATTGAATACCTTAAAATCAAACAAAAAATATTTATAACATTTTCTTGTTAAATATTAGAGACATAAATCAAAACTATCAAAATGAAAAATTATGTCCATTTCTAAAAAATAAGGAGAAAAAAAACTTTATGCCATAAATGATTTCTAATTACAAATTAGCAACTTATCAAACAAATTTAAAACTTTTCCTAAAATTACGTAAAACTACATTTTAGCCGTTTCTTAAATTTACGTAAACTGCATTTTAAATCAACATTTGTTTTAAAAAACTACATTTAAGGAAAAAGGTTACGTGGTCATATTCAGTATAATAATTATTTATATATATTGATAAAATGTAAAATAAAAATATCTAAAAAATCGAGTCAAATTTATATCAATAAAGAAATTTCTGTAAGCTTATGATGAACTTTCACTGAATGTCCAAAAAATTCCAGACTATTCGAAAAATTAATTAAAGTAAAATAGAAGGATCTGTAAACATAAAGTTGCATGCAGTCTGCTTAGAAAATTAATTCCTTTTTTAATCAAATTTCAAAATTAGGTGCAAAGTTCATTATCAGATAGCAATGTGCCTTTTTGTAGTTTCCATACATGAATAGTTTTAAATAAATGTTTCATAAGTTTGTTTATTTAACACCCTATTGCTGTCAAATTTTGTTACTAATTTTGAAATTTGAAGATAAATTGTGCAGTTTTAAAGCAAAACGTACTCCGCATCATTTTTGGACGCCCGATAGATACGCCGCTTAGAGAGACAGTGGACACTAACGAATTAATATAAAATTGATTAGTAGTGCAACTTCTTTAAAAAATACTGAAAGCTTTTAAAATCCCCTGAAAAAAAAGCCTAAGAAATTATCAAATTGTCATGTCTTAACTTATGTCTTAAAAAACATTTTCTTAAATTTCATATAATTAAATCTAAAATGAAATCATTATTAATCACTACAGATTTAACATGCTTTACTTCTGTTTCTCCAGGTGGATGGCCACAAATCATTGTGAAGACTAAACCTAAGGCAGCACCTGTATTTAAAACATTCAATAAATGAATACATCAGAATGAAATAAAAAATAAAATATGCATTTTCTCAATAAAGTTTGAATCGTTTTAATTTTATTGAAAATATTCTCATTAAGCCAAAAGATGTGTCTTGAGGAAGACTTTTGGTTTTCCCCAATAATAGTTTTCTATTTCATATTATTTTATTATATGTGTTTATATATATATAAAATAGAGTTAGAATGATGCTTTTAGCACAACAATCGAGACACTAATGAAAAGAGCCACATGTTAGCACAATTATTTAACAATCACGTGTATCCCTGAAATGCCAACTGGTTCCGTAGAAAATGTATTTATGCTTTAATGTATGATTTTTTATTTAGTGTATATTCTTTTAAGTTATTCAATATGTTCATACTATTCAAAAAATTATATAAAACACCTTTTTTATTCCAGCTACGTTCTAATGAACCATTTAAAATTATTGCGAAATTCTGTAAAGCATCAGTTTCTAAGTAAAGTATCAGCGCATATATCAGCTCAAATCCACTAAACCATGTATCAAACACACCAAACTCAAATCTTAATCATTTCGCTGAAACCGGAGAAGTTGACATCTAAGTAATTCTTGCTGTTGTATTTTAAAGATAGCCCTCTTTATTGACAATTTATTCATTTTATTGTTTTTAAAAACGAATTCTTCGTTGTAGTTAGACAATGATAAATATTTTAATGGTTGTGATTGCAGAACAACTTGTACAAAAATTACTTACCTGTACAAACAACAATGAAGCTCTCAGGGACGAAATGAAAGTTACTTATAAGAAGAAAATAAATTTCCAAGAAACAAAGAGCTGAAACATGTAACGATAATTATTAATTTATTTTAAATAACATAATTTTCTAATTATTAAAACACTTTTGGCTAGCAATCTTTATTTATTTTTTCAATCTGATTTCTTTTAACCCGTTCAGGACGATGATCACACATACACGATCACTCGATTCATTCTTCACACCCCATATGATATCATATATGAGACGAGGCTTTTTCATTCCAACCGTTCATGGGCACGCGTGCTTAGACTCTCGTATTACATCTCACATGAATATGTGTGCGTATTTTTTAGTACGTGTACTCTAGGAGAGTGCGGGACTAAGAAGTGTTTCTTTTTCTTTTCGCCGGTTTTGAAAGCTTTAACCCACAGGTGGTTCAGCAAATGGGCAAAATTGGGCGAATATTTCTACCCTGAGCCGCGCTGACAGAGGGGATAGAGCGTTCGCCTTCCAATGAAGTGGAACCGGGGTTCGATCCCGGTGATGTCTGGTCGATACGTATTCCGCATCCGGCTTGCACCGACCACAGTGCTGACGTGAAATGTTAGAGTCCCCTTGCCGTCAGGCTAACCAAGGGAGGTTCTCGTGGTCTTCCTTTCCATATAACTCAAATGTGGGTTAGTTCCATCAAATAGTTCTCCCAATACTTGATCCAGGAGTTCCCTTGTCTTCTGGATTGGGTTCAAAATTACAAGGCTACGGAGTTGAACATTAGTAGTCGTAAACCCAAAAATTGGGTTGGCTGTTCAACGACGGTAATAAAATAAAAAATATTTCTTCCCCATACATTATTTTCCTATCTCTTAACATGGAAGAACCGGTTTTGCTACGCGAAAAAGATTGCAGGTTAAAATACGACTTTTAACAAGTAGAACCGTCAGTGGGTTAATAGTGAAAATATCTTCTTCCTTATCTGGATCAGATTAGATCCATGAGTTTGTTCTCCCTCATCACCCCCAGCACTATGTCAGGTTGATCAACAGACGTTTGTGGCGAAGCTTTTTTAGAAATTTTGTAGAAATGTCGTAATGTAATAATTTACACGCATAATTTACATGAATAGTTTACGTGCAATTATTGTTTTAAGATATCTGCATATATCTATTGTAAGAAAACTGTTAAATTCGTGTAATTCGATTCTGCTCAACATATTAAATCCTTAAAAAGGGATTAAAGAAAAAGTTTTTTTTATTTTTAACTTTAACAATTGTTAATCAAACATCACATATTTACATTGTTCAAAATCAGGAATAAAATATCGAATTGTTCACTCGCTATTTCGGTGGTTCAAATCGGATATAAAAGAATACTTATGTTTTCGCCATAGACTCTGACGAAAATGTTTTGTAAGATCTGACAGCCCAATTTAGACATTGTGAATTGGTTGTAAGAAATATCTGCTAGTTCCTTTCACTGTTAGATTGTTAAAAGTTCTGGATATTTCTTGCATACGACTGTCTTAGACGTGCCTGCGAATGTTTTGAAACTACGTGTAAGACGTACAGCTAGCGTCATGTGTGAATAGCATTGACGTGCGATCGCATATGCGAATCCGTATGCAGTGAAAACTCTCAAAACCAGATAGCCCCCTTGAACATCTGTTTTGAGTGAGGAGTTAGCAACTGTGTGTTACCAGAACTGTAGTAAATCGTTTTAAAATTTAAAAAGAAAACATAACTTTTAAATCCTATGTTTGCTATAAATACAATTTTTGTCCAAAAGACGATAAAAAAAGCCTTTTGTACAATTACCGAAGCAATGCATTTATTATATATGGTTTTTGGATTTGAGACAATTTGTTATTATTTACTATTTAATTCTTATCCCATGAAACAACTCATCATCAAGTTGGGACAATTTTAACCAAAAAGTACTGCAACATATATAATAGCTGGAGAAAATAAAAATGTCAGCAAAAAATAAATAAATAATGATTACCTGAAGCAAAGGGTAAAAAAACAACAAAGCAGTTTTTAAAAAAAAGGAAAAACCGGATCCCAACAATGAGTTATCATAGAAAAATAGATGCAAATAATGAATATTTACCATAAAAACAAGCTACCATCGATAAATGGTTACCACGAAAATATGGAAATGTCTTTAACGTCTGAATCTTTCGAGAATAAAACAGAAGAATCTGTTTTTCACTACCTAATGCAATAAATAAACTAAACATCAAAAAAGCTTCCTGCAAACCTTTCAGTTGCTCACCTTTTAGCTAAGTTCTTAGCTAAGAGCAGATCTAAGTTTTTTTTTCTGAGTCTTTCTATATCGAAGGGTACAAAAATGAAATTCTGATCTGCAATCCATCGATCTGTAATATATTTCATAAAGTAAAAAAAAATATGAACTAAGGCGAACACGTATTTTGTGGGTAACTGAATCTCATACGATTTTTGGTTATCTTGTAAGCCTAATTACTTTATATCGTAAACCCTTGTGAGGTTAATATGATTTCCGATGCCATGGCATTTTGATACCTAAATCAAATAATTCATACGAAAACTATCTTTACAATTAATAGAAAATTCACTCCTCTATTGTACTAGGTACTATGAATTTCCAAAGGAGCGAAATACCATTTTGAGTAACATTAACCTCTCTGGAAAGCTTCCTCGAGTGGTTAAAATTCCTCGTTTTACTATATTTCAAATTCATTAAAAAAAATTATGACCATTTTAAACATACCAATCACAAAAAGCATGAGTAAGATGTTAATACTGTTGTGTACTTCTTCTTTATTGCCACTTTCTGGTAACTCAGAAATTTTTGAACATTCTGTAGCCGAAGTTTCAGTCACTGATGCTGTGGTCGTTGTAGATAAATTTTCAATTCCTGAACTGAAACTGCAAAACATGATGTTTCACACACTCAGTTTTATTTTTCAACAGCTCCAGTGAAGCCTTCTTACAGGGTATCCAAAGGATGACTAACTGATTTCAAAAATAAAAATCTCGAAAAGAAATGAAACATGTTTATCGTGAAAGCTGTAAGTAAAAAGTTTATACTGAAACTTTGGAATTTAGTTTTAAAATTAGTTAACAAATGGCGCTACACTAATAAATTGAGCTATTAGTTCTGGCATTTATACGTCGTGCTAGGTTTAAACCAGGCATTGTGAAAAAAAAATGCATGTTTCTGTGATTAGAATATCTCAGGTTAAATTATAATCCTACGTTATTTGCATTCTTTTGGAAAACTTTATAAATAGTACCGCGCCATTTATTAGTAATCTTTGTAACTAAATTAAAAATTTTAAAAAAAAACTTTTTACAGCTTTTACAATACGTATACCATTTGTTTCACTTTTCTATCGCCCTTTTTTTCTCAGATTTTTAATTTTGAGATCAATAAGTCATCCGTTGGACTTTCTGTAACTATAATGGCATTAACAGAATTATTTGATAAAGTTATAATTTAAATGATTCATTTTTCTACGTTCTTAAAGTTTAACGAAAAAAATTAATTTGGGAAAGTTACATTATTCAATATATGATTAATAAGCACAAATAAAATAAAGTAAGATAAAATTAAATTTTAATTAAAATAAAATGAAAATGAAAGAGAAATTTTGAAAAAATGGAACACCCTGAATTACTTATGATCTAATGGTCGGAATTGAACGTGCTAGGATTCAATGGTTCGAAGCAGTAGTCGGAAACATGCTAATTAATTAGTGCAGACGACATTTCAGGTTACGAAATCAGGCACAAACATACTTTCTCTGAATAAACATGCCTTTTCTTATGATGGGCTTAGATTCTTAATACTCAAAGTATGGAGGGTAGTCGCAATGTCGGAATAGTTTGGTCCGGAGAGCGGTAATGTTATTAGTATATTTATTTAATTGTATTGTTTGCAAAGTTCGCCACATTTCTAGAATTTTTTAAGTAATTTGAAAATCGTTTGTATGCAATTATTTCATTTGCTTATCGAAAGATAATTCCATGCGAAAATTAATTTTGAATAATTATTTATTATTATTTAATTAAAAACAAGCGGAACAATTCTGAACTGAAAGGTATACAAATTTTCACAACATTTTAAAAGATGCAAAATATAAAATTTGAACAAATTGTTTGAATAGTCTAAATTAAGCCTGGGAAATCGAATTATTAAAGATTCTACTTTTTACGCTTCATGAACAGTTAATGACAAGGAAACGTTAGGCGCGTTACCTATATTTTATTATCGAGTGTTCGAGAACTAGAACTTTAATTTATTTGTACCAATTATCGTGAAGTTAACTTTTTAAATCTGAATAGTTTTAAAAACTGCATCCAAGTTTTCGAAAAAACAACATCCGCTTTAACGTATTTTTCTTATTAGGCAACCAAATTAGAAAGATTTGCAAATTCGTCACCAAATTATTAAACTACGATTTTATAAATAAATCTGGTCCCATTTAAATGTTATTTCTGATAATAATTATAATAAAATCTAAATTTAATGCTAAATTAAGATAATTTAGATAAATAAAAATACAACTTCAACTGCCCACAAACAGCCAGTCCGTAGTTGGGAAGCGCCCCTAACGACGTACCGTGACATTTCAAGCTGGGGTTGTTATTCGATTCTCTATCCTAATGATATGCTCTTACTCTTTTCATAGTTGATAACTGCATTGCTGAATCACTATGTATGTCGATTAACTTCTGATTTAGTAACTTAAAATGCTGTCTGCATGAATTTGCCAAGATTTGAACCGCTGAGTTTTAGTACGATAAAAATCCGTTCCTTAAATCAAAAATTATTCAGATTGTTCTTCTTCTTTCGTGTGCCGGTTTTTTTTAGGCAGAGGGGAGCGATTGTTCTTGTTTTCCAGTGGCGCCATCTATGGCCAAAAATTAGACTTCTGCCACACCCATACGTCACACCAGTTTATAGGATAGACCCATTCATACATTCATTCATCCGCGGATCGTAATTTTGACCTGGATCAGAGAATAATCGATCTGTAATCCAGTACCCCCAGAGGTTTTGACTTGTTATGGGAACATGGAGGAATTTGCGACTCGACAGATTTAGCGTGCATTAGTCCCCATTTACTACACGGAGAGTCTTCGGCCCTACCGACCAGGCTATCCTGAGTCATTCAGATTGTTCTATTTTTTAGTTTGCGCACTCTACAACTTTTAAAAAGGAGAGGTTCATCAGAAAAAATGAAACCTATACTTATTTTTACATCGTAGTCTCTTAGTTGGATGATTAGTAGCTAGCACTGATTTAAGATTAGTTATCTTGGTATTTGATTTTTGCTCATGCCACACTATTCAAGGATGGTTTTTCGACGAGTATTCCTTTTTTTTTTGGTAAATGAGCACAAAAAATACAAGTAAACAAGTTATTAACCACACAACAAGGCTTCTAGGTCAGTTAACAATGACACAAAAAATATCCTTCTCAAACCAAAATACTAACAACAATATTAGCAACAAAAATAAAAAGAACGAAAGTAAAGCATATTATCATTTTGTTTAACAAAATCTCTATATTATCCTTCACTGTGCCAGTTAAGAAAGAAATAAATTTTTTTTGAATTTGTTAATATAACGCACTATCATAAGCTTAAACCGTTAAATAATCTACACAACTTAAAAATAGCTCCTAACTTTCGAAAATGAAAGAACGTGAAACTAAAAAAAAAAATACTGCGTGTGTATACCTTTTTTTTTTTTTTTTTTTTTTTTTTTTTTTTTTTTTTTTTTTTTTTTTTTTTTTT